GATGAATTCTTTGTTTGTTTTTTGTTTTGTTTTTTTTCATACTGTTTATAATTGTAAAATGCTCTTTTGTTGCTTCTTTTTTATTATGATGTCTTGGTTATAGGAACAGATTTATGATTTTAGGTCCCGTTTATTTCGTTCATTCGAGTTTAGAATTTGAGTTTTGCTACAGTAAAAAGCTCTCAGAAACAGTCACATCTAACTTTTTTGCTACAGTAAAAAGCTCTCACACAACATCACATCTCAACTCGAATTAAAAACTCGAATTAGCGAACCGAACCGGCCCTAGTGTGTGATGAGAATGTCCTGTTCATTTTGTCGATTCGAGTTTAGAATTAAATTTTACTACAGTAAAAATCTCTCAGAAACAGTCACATTTAGTTTTTTTGCTACAATAAAAAGCTCTTACATAAAGTCACATTTCAACTCGAATTAAAAACTCGAATCAATAAACTAAACGGACTCGAAGTGTTTTAATCATGATTGTTATATGTTTGCTTTGCATATTTGAGTTTTCAATTCGAGCTGAGATGTGACATTTCTAAGAGCTTTTAACTATAACAAAGAAAGTTAAATGTGACATTTTTTTAGAGTTTTTAACTGTAAAAATTTAAAATTGAAAATTTAAATCGGTAAAATGAACGATGTTCTAGTATTTTGACTTGTGCATTAAATTTCATTTGCGTCTAGAGGTTTTTGGATTGCTTCGTCGGTTTATCTTCTCTGATTGATTTAGTATTCTTGACAATTATTGTTTCTATTTCTAAAGATTTTCTCACCCCGTTGTAGATTCAAAAAAAAAAAAAATAGTTGTATTAGGTCCCGATGAGTGATTTTTCTTTCTCAAAAAAGAAAGAAAGAAAAAGAACCGATAACAATAACAACAACAACGTCTGACTCAGTTATTCATGTACATTAGGCCGGAATCTGTCTCAAAAACTGGTGCCTAGAGTATGTCATAACATAAGCCCATAACCCATTGTTTGTTAACTACTTTTTTATCCCTTTAATTTGTGTTTGTTAGGAAAATGTTTGGAACCCATTTTAAAAACGTTTTTCACGTTTTTTAATGACCAAAAAATAAAAATACTTTGGAGATTGCTTTGGTACCGCATCCAAAAACAAAAAAGAAAATGTTTTCTTCTTTATACCCAAAATTTTAGACATTTTGTAAATAATTCGTAATCATTTTGCTTTTCCCATTTTCATTTTCCCCGGTCACATTCCTCTTAACTAATAAATAGTAAGTATAAAATATATACATATAGCATATATGTATATATTATATTATTTATTAGTGTATTGATTGGAGAGTTTATTAATTATTTAATATATTATTTAAAATACTATTACATATTTTTAAAAATGTAAAACTAAACGGTTTCATTTTTTTCTTATATTAAAAACAATCTCTCAATAAAATTATTAAATGCATTTTCAAAAATGATTTATGCCTGAAATTAAAAACGTTTTTATTTTCATTTTCATACACAAAATAAAATCATTTTAGGACGAGTTTTAAACACACCCGAAATGTTTTCTTCAAAGCAGAAAGAGGATTCATGGGCATAATTTTTAGAGGCAAACTTGTTTATTACACTATTTTTGTAATCTGTATACTTCCTATGTTGTTTCTCAACTTGTAATAAATTGAAAGAAAATGATGGATTTGAAGGAACATTTGATTGAAATTTTAATGTTTTGATGCAATATTTGTTTTAATTTTTTTCCCCCTTTAATTCATGCAAAAATAGAAATGTATGAAGGCCCAATGTTTGTGTTAAAGCGAAAAGTGTTTAATTGGCTTGTTCTTGGTACGTTGAATACTCGTGATTTATTGCAGCATGAAAGACCATTTTTATCCATGTCTCCAAGTTGGTGTTATCTTTGTAGGGGCGTTTCAGAATCTATTCAACATTTGTTTTTCAGAATCTTGTTCTCTAATTGCGGCGCCTTTAAAATTTTGAGTTGCTATATGGCTGTTTGAGGACGAAGATCTTCTTCTAATTTCAATAAGTGAGGACATGTTTGGTTAGGGAGTGGAATCTTTTTCTGTAGTCTATTTTCCTTTTGTTTTAGCTGGAACTCTTCCCGTCCTCTTTCTTGTTGTTCTTCTTTGTACATCATGATTTTTAATGAAGTTTTGTTTCGTTAAAAATAAAAAGAAATAAATCATACAAAAACTATAATGTTGCTAATAAAGAGACCACAATTTTCTTGAAACAGGTGAGAGTAACAATGGTGAATGCACTTCCTTGGGAGATAATCATGGACATACTTTGTCGGCTATCGGTGAAGGATCTCCTGCGCTGCAGGTGTGTCTCCGAGCCATGGCGCTCACTCATCGATGACCCAGATTTCATCAAGCTCCACCTCAATCACTCCAAGCAAGCCAACTCTAACCTCGCCACAGTTACCTCCGGTCACAGTGGCTTTTTCTGGGTCGACCTCGACGCACTTGGTGCAGGCGTTAACCACCCATTTGGCTACAATAATGAGCAGTGGAGGAGCCAACCTTTCACTTCAGTGAAGGTGTACATTAATTTTTTTTTGATAAATTATCTTAGTGAGCACATATAAAAAAATATATTTATTTTTGTGATGACATATATTATTTCAGTAGGAATTTAAGTGTAAAATTTTAAAATTTTTAAAGGTAATATTTAAAAAAAAAAATTGAGTGGGGGCGGCTACCCCGTGCATCTTCAAGTGGCGGACTGACAATGAGTACAAGTTAGTGAGAATAACATAAGATTTTTTGACCTACTCTGAGGTTGTAGTTTACAGTGCAAAAGCCAATTCTTGGAAGAGGAATAATGGGATTCCAATTTTTGCGTTTGATCTTGTGTGACGGAGGACTACAATGAGATTCCACTGCCGGAATACGAAAAAGGATGAGAGTGTTCTAATGCTTTTGCACGTTTTGGGAGGGTCACTTTGTGTGGTTTTTTTACAATGTCTTTAATGGTGAAAGGAGCTTCTCATCGATTTCAAATGTTGACCGTGTTGATGTCTGGGTGACGAAGGAATATGGGGTTAAGGATTTTTGGATTAATCTATTTGCTGTGGAGCCCTCGAAAGGGATTGTAATTTACTTATGGTTCGTTTAGTTCGTTGATTCAAGTTTTTAATTCGAATTAAAATATGACTTTACGTGAGTTTTTTACTGTAACAAAAAAATTAGATGTGACTATAAACTCGAATCAGTGAAATGAACAGAACCTTAGTGTTTTCTATTGCGTATTTAAAGAGTGATGATCAAGTTATTCTGCATCATGATAGAATGAGATTCGCTTTGTACAATATGCGAAGGAAAAGGGCTAAGCAGTTGACAATTTCTAGTATTCCCCGAAACTTCTACGCATACTCATGTTTTGGAAGCCTCGTTGAACTTGACGGTGTTTGGGACGCGGTAGAGGTGAAAAAGAAGCAGAGGAACAAGAAACAATGAAACATAACATGTACCCTAGTGCAAAGTAAAGGTATTGCTGATTGGTTTTGTTCGTTGTAAATTTCTCAGAAGCATTCCTTTCAATAAGATATTCATTTTTTTTTTCTTTCCCCTTATATTAGAGATGATTTTGCCATAATAATTAAGTAGATTACATAAGAGAAAGGCCAAGGGTAGTTTTCTATTCTCTCACTAATTTGTTTCGTTACATCATATATCAAGATTAAGATCAATATCCCTTGTTCATTTAGTTCGTTCAAATTGAGAACTTGAGTTAAAAAGTAAATTTATATAAAAAAAAACGTTGTAGCAGAAAAAATTAAGTTAAAATTTTAATTTTTATGAGAGAAAATTTAAATCTTGAATTATAATTCAAACTAACAAAATGAATATCATTATTACATTGTTTATCGTTTTATAAAGCTTGTTGAACTCAGCCTTGAACATGACCCATAGGCCTTTTTGTCCCCAAAGTTCGGGAAAATTAATAGGCCTGACCATAGATAGGCTCGTAAACGTTAGTAATTCGGGAAAAAAAAAAGGAAGAAATATCAAATATTAGTCAATATGTTATCCTTAAACAAGCATTGTCTTTTCTCAGAGATGCTGTCGTTTTTAATCGACTGCTTGCTTAGCATTTTAGCGTTTTCACAAAAAAACCAATGTCGCTTTTGGGTTCATACTGTCGTTTTCAAGAATAATTTTCATTTTATTATTTCGTATTTTTCTTAGCGTCAAGTTGGTATTGTTAGTTGCATATTTGTGTCATTTAAAGGCCTTATTGTTTAAACTATTGCTGTTTTTGTTACGGCGGCATTTTTTTTTTTTTTTGGCGTCAAGTTGGAATTATTGTTGTTTTTTTTTTCCCCTCTTAGCATTATTATTATTATTATTATTATTTTTTTTTGTTACGGCGTCATTTTTAGTATGTTTTAAGCCTTTTCATCTAGCAATATGCTGTCATGTATGTCGTTTATTTTAATCATGTCGTTTTTTTGAGGGAGTTGTTATGAAGATATTTTCACTTTTAGAATAATCTGTTTTTTCGCAAATCATTGTCATTTTCCTCTATTCAATTCTGTCGCTTTATTGCACTCAATATCACCATGAGAGACACCAGCAAAATGATTGGCATGTTTCCTTCTTTGACGCCTTTCCTTTTTACAAGAGTTTTTTCGTTACGTTAACCTTAATGCCGTTTATATCAATAAAAACACAAAAACAGATTGTGTCGCTCTAAAGAATTTATTGAAAAAAAAAAAAAAAGAAACACACGGAGCCAGATATTGTGTTTTGTTTGCTGTCGTTTCTTTGGTCGTGTTTTCTAAAACTAGGCTTTTTTATCGTGATATATTTTCATTCCCATACTGTCGTCTCAAATGTTGTCGCTCGAGTTATATGATAGTATTATCTTCTGAATTTATTGTCCTCTTTGAAAATGATGTCGTGGAAATAAAGAGAGAGGGGGGAAAGAGCAACTTACGTCGTATTCAGCCATAATAGCAATATGGAAAACTATCCGTTCAAATTAATGGAGAAATAAGACCAATGAATAAGAGTAGCTGGAAACAGAGTCCAAGACAGAGACTAAAAGAAAGCTGAAACCAGCATTACACTTTCAAAAATACTTTTCGATTTACAATTGGTTAGAAAAAATGACCCAACAATGGAAAGTAGAAAAGACATCCTTTTCACATCTATAAAACTTAATCACTGAACCAACAATCCTCATCGATGAACCATTTTACCCCACTGCTCAACGAAGCCTGGGCAGGCAAAAATGGTGTGCAGAAACTCTATTCGTATTCAAAGCTAATCTCAACATGCATGTACTTTCTCATAAGCCGAACAATGTAAGAAGTGAAATCGGCCAAGATTTGGCATTCTTCATGAGTTTTGGCCTCCGAAACAACTCCATAAATGACCAACTTCTTCAAATTTGGGCATCTTTCAAGAAATCCTGCCACCCATTCTGAAAAGATATCATTAATTACAGTCCATCCAAGTTCTAAAACAACCACATTCTCCAAATGAGATGACCCCTGCAAGCCACAATGAAGTACGACATCTTTTAGATCATAGCTTAATGAAAGGTGGGTCAACCGAGGGAAACAAACCGAGATTGTTTCCATATCCACGACTTCATCCTCGTCATCAAAGACAACACCCCAAAGCCGAAGCCTCCTTAACTTTGATGATTTCGAGATCATGTGGTAGAACTTTGGCCACATGACTGTGAAGCTGCAAACATCCACAACCTCGAGATTCTCAGTGTTCTCACCAAGATCAAGATGGATGACACTAACATCATCAATCTTTAGAACCTTTAACGTCCCCTTACTAACAAGCTCAAAAATCTCAAGTGTACAGTCTTTCAAGTGCAAATTCTCAAGACAATCAGCCTCCAATATGAACTTGTCAAAACTAATAGCTTCAAAGTAAACATCCTTCAATGAAACACTACTCAGTTCCAATGTGGTTTGTGCATCCGACATGGCAATCTCAGGATTAGTAAGAGCCAAAACTTCAAGCTTAGGGCAGGCAGTCAACAAAAGGCTCAAATCCAACGCTGAGATACTGACATAACTGAGTGAAAGAGACTTCAAGCTAGGAAATTTCTGATAACTAGGTTCAACACCAGTTATGGAGTTGTGAGCCAGTGCCAAAACTTCCAACCTTTGTCTACCACATTTCTCAATAATGTTAACATTTGGAACTGTCCTCACATTGTAATGCAGTTGGCGCAGCGTCTCCCGTGTATACATGAGCCAAGCAATCACGGGGGCTGCTGCAAACTCCTCAGCATCATCCATAAAAATCGTCAAAGACTGCAGCCCCATGGTTTGGAATATTGTCTGAGTTATAATAATCTCCAACCTACTAGTAGTAAGATCGTGATAAACATGCCACTCACTGGAATTGAAGGAAAGATTGTGAAGGTGCCTACGCGAAGCCTCTCTCCACTTCTTGCAAGTTAAGGATGCAATCACTACATCACGAGCGGCTTTAAGCCGGGACAGTATGTTGCCTATGACTTCAATGGGAAGATTCTCCATTCCCAGATGAAAATTAATGAACCAATGAGAAATCTAATCCTCTATTCTAAAGATTCAACCAAAGCGCCTAATTTCGAGATCAAATCCAAAAAAACAGAGTTCCTCCAATTCATATGATTCTAGTTTGTGCTTCTTAGAAAATACAAAATCGATCTTGTCCAGTCTGTCAGATCACATGTTCCAAAGTAATTTATCACTATCTGCACATTTAAAGACTCAGTCAAATACTAAGATAACAAATTGGATATTTTCACAAATACAAAATTTAAAGGCTGGAATATAGTATATTGGATATTGCAAACAAGTTCACAACTTCACGATTCTGCATAAATCAACAGATGTTCAATCAGATGAAACGGCTGCCATTAGTCTTGTTAAATCCCAAAATAAAAAGGAAAAAACTCTTAGAGGACGTTTGGTTAGAGGATTCAAATCATGTGATTCGAACCATTTTCGATTTACGTGTATTTTTTGTGAGAGAAAATACTGTAGCGAACTACGAATCATGATTCGAATCTCTCTACCAAACATCCTCTTAAATTGTTTTCAAAATCACAGAATGCAACGAAAGATTATGGGAAAAAAACGAAAAGAAAAATGAAAAAATAAAATTTTGATAGCCGATCAGCGTACCTGGATACTAAAGACGGAGACGATCTTGACAAGCCATTATTGGCAAATGAACATCTCCGAGATGGAGATTAGAAGCTCCAAGTGATGTGTGGTTAAGAGGATTCAAGGAGACATTTAAAATCTATTGCAAGGAAGAAGGACAGATAAACAAGTTTAGTGCATTTCAGTGTTTACCAAATATACTATTGTCTGTTATAGTACCATTCATTCTACAAATATGAGTACTTTCCTATAGGTAAGAATAATTGGAAAGAAAAAAAATAAAAGAAGAAAAGAAAACAGGCATATTTTCTTTCCTGCCGTATATTTGGGAATCTGATCCCAGACAGGCACTTTCATCAAGTTTGTCCAACAAAATGTAGTAAAAGAAATAAACAGATTTACCCATAAACCAAAAACAAAAAAAAATACTGTTAAATTTTGGGAAAGTTCTTGGGTAAAATTCAGTAAAAATACTAATTTATTTGCCACCACCTATCCAGTCCTCCCTTGAAGAAATACAAAGCAGGCCATTAAGTAAAACATTACATTAAATTCAGTAAATTTTGTTCTTAGCAAAAAAAAAAAAAAAAAAAAAAAAAAAAAATTAAAAAAATTTTTTTTTTAAAAAAAAAAAAAAAAAAAAAAAAAAAAAGTAAACCTTGAGGCAACATATTTGCTTCAAACTTTCTACGCTCTGTTGATCATTTCTCCCGTCAATAAAACATCTAAATAACACAATTAATGAAGAAAAAGAAGAAAATTGATTTCTCAGCAAGCAGAATGGCAGGCAAATGTTGATCAGAAAATAGAATATCTTTGCGAAAATATAAACAATCACTAAAAAGAAAATATGAAATCTTTATACTTCACATCCATGGCAGATTCAACATTTCTGCTTCAATTGAATATAATTCTGAAAATAAATTCACGATCATATTAAATACATACTATTTTGTTTCCACATTTCTTCCATGACCAAGAATCAGAATGAAAGAGAAAGAGAGAGAGACCTTGACGAGAAGAAAACCCTAACTCATCGATTCTATAGCCCGTCCAGAGTTGCAAAGAAAACGATCATCATTTATAATCCAATTCCAGATCCAACGGCCTGCACTCTCTCTCTGTCTCTCTATATCTCTCTCTCGTTCGTTCTTGGTCAACGCCGGTTTGATTTCTTTCGTCTCTGAACCCTGCCTCTCTGTCTCTCGTTTTCTCTCCGACTGTATTTTGCCTTCTTAAGACGGTGCGTTTTGAGTCTGACCAATCAAGAAAAGTGACAGTTCGGACCAAGGCTAGGCCCATGGGCCATGGCGAGCAAAGTGTTGGGTCGGGTACCCACGGCACGTGCGCCTGTTTATCTTTTTCCTCCGGTTCACTCGGTGAGCTCCAAAATTTATTGGCAAACGACTTGGAATAAAATTTTGTGTTTATGTGGGGATGCGCAGTTCTATGTTCCCCACTTCCCAAGGCACGGGGTAAAAATTATAAAGAGTTCGATTGTTTTTGAATCGTAAGATTAAAAAGATAAATCAAATAATTACAAAATAGATTATATACCTAATAATTGATTGCCCAAAGTATTTGTTATTAAAAAAGAGCCACATTCAGAGAAACAGCCATCACCACTACTGTGGTAAACTCTCATAGTATAATTAAGATCCGTTTAGTTCACTGATTTAAATTTTTAATTTGAGTTGAGATGTGATTTTATGTGAGAGTTTTTTACTGTAACAAAAAAGTTAGATGTGACTGTTTCTGAGAGCTTTTTACTATAGCAAAACTCAAATCGGTGAAATAAACAGTACCTTAATTTTTACTTATCAGTCTCACACCGCAGCTTTTTTATTTTTCTGTTTAATAATAGTAAAATCATCTGTTGAAACTCATTAAAAGAGGTGGCTCATTTCTATTTGATCGACGTAAATATGGACAACAATGGGATTCTTGTCCCTAATTTACCCTTGTTGTCTTTTTCTACCTTTTGAGAGTTGTGACTTGTGACCGTTACAATGGTTCAGATCAGTATATAAACACATTTTCCCGCCATTGCCAAAGAAGAAAAAGGAGAAAATAGAAGGAAAAGAGAACATGTTGGAGGCGAAGAGTCTGAAGAAGGCGAGGGTCCCACTCTCTCTCATCCCCAATCCTTCTCCTGCTAATCCCCACTCCTCTCGCCTCGCTCTCCATGTAATTTATCCACCCTTAAAACCCTAACCCTAATTCTAAAGTTTCTCTTCTTACTTCGATTCCTCCTCTGTTCTTAGGTTTCCCATGACGCTTCGTCTTGCTGGCTCTACGTCGCTTCTGGTCGCCAAGTTTACACACTCCAGGTATATTTACAATATGGATTTGCTGAAAATTTTCTTTTTTTCCTCACTGTGAGTATTTTTTATCAAATTGATTGTCCAATATGGTGATTTCTGCAGTTTTTGAGATTATTATAGTGTGTATATATCTCACAACAAGTGAAATTTCTTTTTTTATTCGTTAATGTTCTTTAGTGTTTTTTTTTTTTTTTTTCAATACGATTGTTGAATCTGAGCCTATATGTTTTTGCATAGTTATGATTCAATATAAATTAGGTTTATCAAAAAGAAATAAAAAAAGATTCAGCATAAATGAAAATTATTTTGGCAGTTTTGCTATATCCTTCTTTGAAAATATAACAGCTGAAAGAAAATATTTTTCCCTCTTTTTTTTTTTTTTTGGAAGATTGCATTGGAAGATTCTTTAGTCAGCGAAGGAAAGGATAGCCTGCTAATTCCTACACACGCTGAGGTACGATATTGTAAGTTTGTGCATGAATTTTAATTTTTCTCTATTTACTTGATCATTAAATTTTGTGCATGATTTTATATTTGTAGGTTAATTAAGTTATTTATTTTATGAACCTTGAAGGTTTTGGAATCTTTCTTGGTTAACCGATGTCCACATCGTTCAGAAATTCAGAGTATTGTGCTAGCTGAAAGCGAGAGTAAGGGACCTTATGTTGAGATATTGAGATGTTCTTTTGTAAAGACTGAAGAATTTGATGATATAATGTGATAAAAGAGGTTTAAAATGTCTGAAAAAAGTAACGTGTGAATTAGTAGTGGCACTATAGTAATTTCAACTCAAGATGATCGTTTTTTACGAATATGCTTTTCCATGGTATTTTTTTGTTCTCAGAAATTTAACATAGAACCTTCAAATATATATATATATATATATTCTCAGACATATAACATAGATAGATCAAATATATATATATATATATATATATATATATATTAACATAGAAGCTGGACTTTGCATCAATCAAATTCTTATGTTTGTTCATTGATTTCTAGGTACTGGCTATTTAATGTTTGGAAGTGTCGATTCCTATGGTGATGTTATTGTATCTAAACTAGATTCTAATGGTAAAGGTACATTCTTCATTTCTCTCAAGTCCTATTTATTGTTGTGCTAACTTGTTTTGTTATGATCATTTGGTGGTAAGAATTTGCAGCAATCAACATTCAATAAAGTGTAAAAGTGTCTCAGTAGTGCTTCGTGAGGCATTCCGTGACAATACTTACAAAGAAGCAAAGATCCCATGCAGATGAACTCTTAGATTTAGTTTCCATCTGTAATTCATGTTGTGGGAAACATATAGGCATTGCCTAGCCTAAGACTTCCAGTTCCCTCTTCTTCAATAATTTGAGATGATGTGGTGCAGCAGTATGTTTGGTCTATCTGCAACCTTTTGCCTTTTTCCTTTCTCATATATTATTCTTATAGAACACAAGTGATGTTTGCTTGACGTGTAAAGACTTGGTGATATCATCTTATCAAAACACGGTGCCTATTTGAGTTGCTTTAGTTGATTCATCATATGCATTTCCAGCCTTCCTTATTGATTGTAGTACAATGACTAAAATAAAATGTCGCAAATTGAGTGCTGCACAATAGGTATAATGATAAAACTGCTACTTTGTTCCCTTGCTTGCCACTATTAGACTTGCCTTTTTTGGGTTGTCAATCACAAAGCTGACTTTATGATGTGTTGAATTGAATTTTCAGATATTGACAGGCTCACATACACAGTATCACCTCACGACAGTGGTGTGGGTGAGAGTAGTTGGGCAGGACTATGCTTCAGTCCGGCACAATGGTCTATGGTACGTCGATATACATATTAATTTATTTGTTCGTAAATGGTTATGGTTTATGATATTTTGTAACATGTACCATTAGACAATTCGAAGTTGAGGCTTGTTGTACTAAAGCTAAGCTTGTACAATACAAGATATATTATACTATACACACATGAGCCTCCGTCTCTTACCCTCTAGTATGAGATATTGACCAAGTTTTATTACAGGCAGCTGTCGCACGTAGCTTCTGTAAGGCCGTTGATGTTTATGATCAGGATATTCATGTCCAGACATTGCGTACGTAAGTGTTACATATGGTTCTCGATGTTTTTATTCTTTTAAGTTTTAACTTTTACTCATGTATGTCAATCTCTCTGTTTCTCTGCTGTTTCTTGCTCTACTACTTTCACTTCAATTTTAGTTCTCTCTATGATTATTGCTCTTAAACTGGAAAGCAACTGGAACAAGAAACTTGACAAGACTGTATTTCAAAATTTCACGAACGAATTACCTTATGTGGGAACTTGACAGTCATTCTGTTTCCAAAATCTCCTTATTTCAGAACTTCAGTCATTCTGGTAACATAATTCTGTAAAAATATTATTTCAAAAAGAAATCTGTAAAAATACATATTTTAAGATAAATCTTTCTTATGACGAGTACATTGCATGCTTTCCTTTATAGATTTTTGCTACAAAGTACTTGGAACCAGTTCAAACAAAACACAAGTTCACAACTAATTACCTCTAAACGGATATGAATTAAGTTTTATGTTAGGTCATCAAAGCGTCCTTTTTCTTGCTTTTGTAAATTTATTTGTCTTATGATGTATGCATGACCACTTCTACAGACTTTTGTATCCATCCGCCTTGAGTTTTGTACAGAATTTGTCTAATGGGAATGAAAGTTCTATTTTAGCTGTTGCTGAAGGTTGCCAGGTAAAATTTTGTTCCAAAAATTTTTTTTTTTTTTTTTTTTTTTTTTTTTTTTTTTTTGTATTTCATGGCGTGATGTACTGAAATAACTGTAGCTGACCATATGGGACTTGAGAATGAAAGAAAACGGTGGCTGTATACAACGGATTTGTGGTTCTGTTGGTGATATTTACTATGCTGTCTGCAGTTCTCCATCCGGAAATATTGCAGTGGGTGGAGCTGATCGGACCATGACTATCTATGATCCTCGCAGGTTAGCTAAGTAGTACAATATCAATTTTTCTTGTTCATGCTGATATTAATTTGTAAAAGAAAAAAAGAAATTAAGTATGTCAATAAAACACGAATCTAAAGAAAATGGAGAGAAGACACGGGCACTAATCTTTGTATCCCACCTATGAGGTCCGCTGAGGCCGAGCTCAAACTATTAAATTCAGCAAAAGCAGTATGTTTATGCAACCACAATGACCAAAATTTACGTAAAGTATTTTAACTCCAAAACTGCAATGCTTTTTTTTGCATTAAAAGAAAAAAAGAAATTAAGAATGTCAATAAAACACAAATCTAAAGAAAATGGAGAGAAGACACGGGCAGTCGGGCACTAATCTTTGTATCCCACCTATGAGGTCCGCTGAGGCCGAGCTCAAACTATTAAATTCAGCAAAATCAGTATGTTTATGCAACCACAATGACCAAAATATACGTAAAGTATTTTAATTCCAAAACTGCAATGCTTTTTTTTCATTAAAAGAAAAAAAGAAATTAAGAATGTCAATAAAACACAAATCTAAAGAAAATGGAGAGAAGACACGGGCAGTCGGGCACTAATCTTTGTATCCCACCAATGAGGTCCGCTGAGGCCGAGCTCAAACTATTAAATTCAGCAAAATCAGTATGTTTATGGAACCACAATGACCGAAATATACGTAAAGTATTTTAACTCCAAAACTGCAATGCTTTTTTTTTTTTTTTTTCATTATATTGCTGAGCTAGGAAAATGTTCCTACTCGCTGATTCATGAGGGAAGTGATTCTCCACATGTTTCTGTCTACTTACATTTGTAGCATTAAAATCAGAGTATAAAGAGACATGGAAAATCTTGACCAAGTGATAATTTGTTGTGAGTAGCGAGTTGTATTCGAGAATTTGTAGGAACTGTAATTCACTTTTATCTGGTTTCTTTATTGGGACTTTATTTCTTATTTTCCTTAACAGTTAAACAATTAGTGTTTTTTCACCTTGCACACAATAATAGTTTGAAATTTTCTTGTCTTGTACTTGATGTAGATGGTCATCATTATCAAGATGGGTGCACTGCTCAAAATATGAGGTTAGTTGCATGTGGTTATTTTCTCTGCATGCTTATCCGATGTTCACACTTCTCATTTGACTCGTACAACACAAGGTCCTTTCCGACCTCGTTCTTATGCTGGCATATACAGTTTTCTCTTAAACGCTCATAATTGCAAAAATGTTTTAGTCACTTGCTATTCCTGTCTTTGAGCAATTACTGTCATTCCTCTTTTGATCTTCATATATGTTTTGTTCGTAGTATGGATATTGTAAATTGCAATGGAATGATAAGTTTGAGTAATCTCCAGTCTTTGGGTATGGTTTTGGAATTTTATTGGATGCGAGTAGTCACATACTATCCTTTTCTGGTACCTCAGTTTGAAAAGGTCTCTCAGGTTAAAATCATGTTTGCACTCTCAGGTTAAAATCCATTCCTTTGCAAGTAGTCAAAGTAATGGATATCCAGGGTGAAGAAAGGCGGGTATATCTTTATTCAATTGCTTTAAGTTAACCACTGAGACTAAAATGTCTCTGTCACACTGAAGCTTTATCTAGAAAATGTGTCTTGTTTCCAAAGCTTACAATACTGCTTGTTTTTTTAATTTATATTTCAATTAATGATAACTCGTCTCTGGTACTGCAGATAACTGGACTTGCTTTCTCGTCAATTGATCCTGATTATATCTATATACAAGGAGTTGATTATGAGGTATTTGTTTTTAATTGTTAAACCAGTATCCCATTTCACTTGATTACTTCAGTTATTTGGACGTCAGCACTTCTGTTGGTAGTCAATTTCTAGTTGGTTGATTAAATTTGTCATTTAGAAAAAATTCCTTTGGCTTTTCATTTATTATGAAAAAATATATGCACTTTTAATATGTTAATTGGATGAGTTCTATGCTTCTTTTTATATATCCTGGGCCGTTATTGTAGCCTCATGCATGGTCAAACATTTTCTTCAGAAGTTCTCTCTTCTGCTAAATGCTTTATATTAAATGTGAAAAATAGTTTTCCATTATGATCCTTTGCCTGTTAGAACGGGTTAAAAAAAAAAATCCTTCCACAAAATGGAAACCATTATGCCTTTCAGAATAGTGATTCCTAGGAATCTGTTTTTACTTATCCGCCAACTGCCACACAAGGCCTCTTTAAATGTCCTTCATGTGTGATCTTGGTAAAGGGTACTTTGAATTCCTTGGAGCAGCTATTGATTGTCTTGTACAGTTACTGGTTCACTGTGTTAGACAATGTTGTTTTTGGTACCACACTTGCACCTATAAGCATGCGCATCATTTATATATTTTGCAATATTCAATTTAGGCTAGTTAATGAAATGCTAAGTAGTTGAAGAAAATCAATGATCTAAGCCACAGATAAAGAAGTGCAATTAGTTAATAGTACCTTTTTTTTCATGCTTTGATGTTTCATATATTGGTTGGGGGATACTTGTCTCTTCATTTTCTCACTATCTTTGCTAAAAGAACCTATGAAATATCTTGCAAAATGCTTGTTGTTTCTCTAGCCTCCAGTTGATGACACGACTAACATAAGGACTTGTTTTTGCAGGTATTTTGTGGGGATTGGAAAGCAACCAATAAGATATTCTCATTTAGGGGAGACTCAAACTGGCTTGGCTTTAGCAAGGTATATTCTTCTGTGTTTCTACATGTACTTTTCTTGTCAAAGGACTAGAGAAAAAAGATCATTCATTTAAAACAAAGCTAAGTAGTTCCAGCACGGTTTGAATTTAAAAAACACGACACACTGCAGATCTTCACCTATTGAGTCTGAAAATATTTATTTTTGAAGTAAAAACTGAACATGTTCATTACAAATTAGCATAATCAAAATAGACCTAGATCTAATAAGATATTATTGTTTTCTGGTTTTCATGAAAGGATGTTATTCTAGGATTTTTTTCTTTTTTTCTGAAAGAGGATATAAGGCCTTGTGTATCTTCTTTTTTATCTCTCTCTCTCTCTTTTTTTCTCTCTGAACTTGGGGGTAGAGTCAGGTGTAGAATTATTGGTATGCTATGCCTATAACCACTTTTTTATTTTTTTTCTATTGCAGTAAAAATGTATGACTAGTACAAAATAAAGTAAAAATTAAAAACATTAACTTTTTGCTCATTTATATCATGCAATATTATGTGGTGTTTGTAGTCAATAAGAGTAAATTGGTTGTTTCAAAACAATGGCCTTTGTCTTTTTGGGGCTCGTTTTTTCTTGAAGACCGAAGCAAACAAAATCAAGCTGATCTTGTTGGAAGTTCACAAACTTCGTTATAAAATTTAGCACAAGAATAGTTTCGAGTTAAGTTGTTTTGATAATGAAAGATTTAAAATATCATATTTCTTGTTGCTATGCTTTGTTTTTTTTTTTTTTTTTTTTTGTAACTTCCCAACTTCTCTTTCAAGTGTACGACGAATATAAGGAACTAGTTCCTTCCTCGTTACCTTGTATCATAATGGATCAACGTGTTATTTAGGATTTACTTGGGGAGCTATAGGCTTAGGTCAATTGCTTCTTGTTAAACATCCAATTAGGTGGTCACACTTGACAATGCAATCTCACCAAGTTTTATGCATTATTGCAGTGCCACAACAGAGACGTTCTGGGTGGTTGGTGCGATTCGGGTAGCATCCTTGTGGCTGATGTTGTAGCTAAAGAGATCGAAACAAAGGACGGTGTTACCTATGGCTCCTCATCTCCATTTTAACTTAGGTGGTAAATTTTCTTCTACCCCTTTCACATATCAAACGAATCCTGCCGCATTTGAAGACTTCCTTTCTAAGTGGTCTTCACCCCCAGTCAAGTCAATTAAGGAAAAGACTCGTAGTCAATTCAGCATGTCTATCTAGTCTGTACGTTGAGTATGCAAGTTTTGATATTTAACATGGAAGTACATTGATTCTTGGCTTTCACCACCTCACAAGTCACAACAAGGCCAGGTGAGTCCTGGCTGTTAACTAAATATCCTCTTATAAGCTGCTTGAATTATTATATGGCTCATATGACTTTGAAAAGCCAGTCTTTTTTAATTTTTATTTTATTTTGGATTGTCTTATTGCAAGCTCTTTTTCTTTGGTGTCGGTAAACAAACCCATCTGTTTAATTTCATGGGAGAGGTCTATAAATCTTGTGTAGGTCTGAGACAGCTCGTCCCCTGTTTAGCTTTCAGTGGCCCGTTTTCATCTTTGAGCCACTACCTATTTTGGCCCAGATAATCTTGTTCTGCTTGGTTTTCCTTTACTTTTTCTTTCTTTCCTTTTTTTTTTTTTTTTTTTTTGGGGGGTTTTTTTTTTTTTTTTTTTTTTTTGGGTGGATTTGTTTGGATTTTTGATTTGTTGAGCTGCACAATGGGAGGTAGAAAGTAGAAACCACTTGGATATGTAATAAAGATTTAAAGATAGTACTAATACTTCCTTTTTTGTTATTTTTTCTTTCTCTGACTTTGTAATTATTAGAAAGAAAAAAAAAATTTTGTGGGTTTGGAAGGGGGACGAAGCCATTATCTAGTCTAGGGAAAAAAAAAAAACAAAAGGAAAGAAAAGTTAAAAAAAAAAAAAAAAAACGAGTATTGTAAGATTGAGACATGTTTCTAGAGCTTCTCCTTGTGGTCCTCATTTTTGGTGTTGTAATTTGATTTGATAACAGTAATGTGAATAGTCAAGGGTCAAAATTCCTGGCAGAGATATGATCAATCATTCAATTGGATAATGGAAGGGTGGGGATGCTCTATCCATGGTGGGGGGTTTCATGAGGTTTATGTGCTGACCAGAGAAAAAGGGTCCCACTGTTGAGATCATCAGTTTAACCAAACAGATCACCAAATGCGTATTTATTGCATATTTCTTGTCAAATGCCACCTCATCTAAGGACCCTAAAATCATAATCAAACACCTTTTTTTTTTTCCTACCAGTAGGATAATTGTTAGCTTCCTCTTGTAAGGTCTTAGTCAGCTGAGTTATTTAACATCCACCCTATTTGACACTACATTGGAGGGGGGAAAACCGTCTTAGGTTTTCATTTTTGTTTAGGGAAGTAATTTGGTTTGTTCATTTGAATAATAATTGATGGTTGGGTTGTTAAGTTTAATTTTATTGAGGCTATTTATTCAATCGAAAATTCCTATATCATAAGCCAACGTTGTTGTCATTAAATCAGCATACTCCTACAAACTTAAGCGGCAAAGAAATGGTTGTTTTCAAGGAAAAAGTGTCATTCCCTGATGAAACTATTCTGTAGATGTACAATAGGTAGTGGTGTGCAATACAGCTTTGTATAATAAGCTACATATTTTTCTTTTTAATTTTTCCTTTTGTTATAGTCTAGGATTATATGACTTCATAAGAATAATTGAAATTCTCATTTATGCAAGGACTTTTGAAGGTATGGATGTGATTGTGATTTAATATTTAGGTTAAATGTTGAATATCTTCATTCTGGAACAAAACTTCCCCAATCTACATTTTTTTTATTAATTTCATAAATATCCCCTGAACTTTGTAATTTATCTCAACGTGATTCATGAACTTTGAAAAGGGTTCATTTGATTCCTCAAGTATGTACCCCAATTCAAAATGTCCTTTACATTTATAAAATAACAAATTGATAACATGACACTATTTATGTTTTTGTAAAAACCCCCCAAGCTATTGATTTTAAATCAATTTATCTCTTGAATTATTATTTTTGTGTTACAAAATCAATAGTTCATAAGATATTTATGAGAAAAACATTAATTCAGGATGTATTTTGAACCACTTTTCATACTTTAAGAGGTGAAACAAACCATTTTAAAATTTAGGGACTAATTGAAACAATGTACAAAGTCAGGAGATATTAATAAAATTAATCTTTTTTTATTTTTTAAGAAAAAACCTCCCTATGCCAAAAGCCAATTTTGTAATAGATGCAGTTTCTTTAACCCCAAGTTCTCAAACTCAGATGATCCAAAGTTTTTTTTTTTCCCCCTATTATTGAACATGTGTGAAACTGTTGTCAACTTGAGGATACTTTTTTAATATTTCTTTTTTAGCTGACTTTGTTATGGTTGCTTGGTTCTGAGGCCGAAGACATCCCTGATCTTCATTTATTATAAAACGAGGAGACGTGTGAAAAGAGCCAAACATGTATATTTGAATTTCACACCATTCCCTACTTATTGGGCCACACAGCTAATTTATATAATATTTTGAGGACAATAACTCAATGTGCCCTAGCAATAATTTAATAGAAAAATGGACCACAACATGAGGCTGCGTCAGATTGTTGGTCCACATTTATGTACGTTTATAGTTCCATAAAATCTTTGAATTCATATATTGATGTTCAGTTATTACCGCTATTTCTTTTGTTGAACAAAAAAAAAAAAAAGAAAAAAAGCTTAATTTGATTTTCACGCTCTTCAAGTGTTTTTCTTTTTTCATGGAATAAAATGAATGGGGATACATCTTCACTTGATCTGGCCAGGTTTTGAGCATGTTTAGTTCATTGATTTTAATTTTTAATTTGAGTTGAGATGTGATTTTATGTGAGAGTTTTTTTACTGTAGCAAAAAAGTTAGATGTGATTGTTTCTAAGAGATTTTTACTGTAGCAAAATACGAATTCTAAAATCGAATCGGTAAAATAAACGGGAGTTTGAATGATGCAAAAGCAATTAATAGCTAGATTTCTAGTTATATATTGGGGAGTTTTTTTGTGGTACTAAAAAAATAAACTATCAGTAATTGTCTACTTTTTAACTGTCAAATGTTTTTTCAAAACTGTATTTTGTATATTTCTTAATTTAATGTGGTTTTGATCAAATTTAACGGTAAAAAACTAACACTAACAGTAAGTTGATCTGTCGGAGAAAGTTCCTATGTATTTAGAAAATAATATTTGTGAGTGTTTTATTCACACCTTTTTTTTACTCTCTACACCCTCTCAAATTAAAAGTTCTTATTACGAAAACCCCTTAAATGAAATGAAAAAAAAAAAGACAGACTTAATTATATACTTCAATTTTATTACAATAAGGAAACTAATAGAACATGTTTCAAAAATCCATAGAAAATAATTTTTACTTTTTAATGACCATTTCAAAAAATTACATAAAGGTAGTTAAACTTTCTTTACTATTTGTTTTATGAAGCTTTTTTTTTTTTTTTGCTTTTTGTTTTTCATTTTTGTTTGCTAATCAATTTTTGAAGCAAGTTGTTTCACCTTTTTTTTAATAATGTCTGACTACGGGTTTTTTCAATTACTTCTCCATTTATTATTTTTTTCCCTGTTGAACTTTAAGAAAAAAAACATTCCACGCATACATTAATTTATGTGTGGTGTGTAGTTAGAAGGAGATGGTAGAGTAAAGAGTTTAATAATTTTATAAAAATAATTAGGGGTAATTTTAGAATAATAAGAGTATCCAGAAAGAAAATTTAATCATTTAAAAATCATTAGAAAGGATGTATAGAGAATACCAGGGTTGTGTGAATAGAACCACTTATAATGTATTCGTTTCTTATCATTAAGATTACGTTTTATCTCATTTTTTTACTATTTTCCTATTTAGAAAATTTCATTTTAATACCTCATACTACATTGAAATCTTTGTTTAGTGCTCTGTGTTTTTAAAATAGTACCTTAATGTTTTTAAAAAATCTTTATTTAGTACTTTGAGGTTTTTTTTGAGATGAAATGTCAAATTTGTCCTTAATAATAATTTCTCATTTGATTGACTTGAAATTTAAACATTAAAGTTTCAAAATGAAAATTTTCCAAAATGTTGAGATTCCAAGATTGCATAGTCCCGGAAAATACAACTATTTCTTTCCTTTAAAAGCACGTTTAATTAATAGTATTTAAATTATTTAATTGCACGCCTTTAGAGAGAATGAGAAATACAAAGTCTCGTTTATTTTATCGATTTAAATTTTAAATTTTAAATTTTTATAGTAAAAAATTTTCAAAAAATGTCACATTTAACTTTTTTTATTACAGTGAAAAGCTCTAAAAAAATATCATATCTCAACTTAAATTAAAAATTTAAATCTACAAAATGAACGTGACTATGAGATTTGAAAAATCTGTTTGCTAGACTTGCCAGGCTTGAGACAGATAATCAGCCCCCAAAGATATAATTAAAACAAGACAATTGTCAGGAAAAGGAATTTGGAAAACAATGCCCCATAAGAAATAAATGCTTTTCAGATTTGTGGCTATGAACAATCAATTTCCCCTTTAAAAAGAATTTAAAAAAAAAAAAGGAATAAACAGATCTTGTGTGTCTGCTTATCAATAATTTTCCTCTACTTTCGGAAAATCACGTTCTCTGCGAATGAATGTGCATTGGTATCAATGAGATTCATCAGCTCTTACTATATCCCTGGGACTTAGTTATAACCCACACGTGTAAGTACTTTTCTTAATCAGGAATTTTCATTAGATTCCATTCTAAACTGTCTCTAACTAATTTTCTCTTTTTTATTCAACAATACTGTGATGAGGCACCAAAAAAAATGGGTAAATCACTGTTTTAGACCTTATTAGAATCATATCCGAGTTTACAATTTATAGAAATCAACTTTTTTTTTTTTAGTTGTTTTAGTCTTTGAATTTTTTTTTTAATGTTGGTTCATAATTTTTATAAATTCTGTCAAATATTTAACATTTAATTGATGAAGGGACCGACACTAAAACAAAGTAATAATTTAAGACTAAAAGTGAAATATTTTAAAAGTCATAATACTAAAATAAAATTAGAGATAAAATCATCATTTGTGATATTAGTTTGGCCTCCAAAATACGACGATATAAAAGGAAACACACTAAAGCACTAATATATATATATTTAAACTTAAGTAAATTAACAAATATTGAAACGCTCAAGTGAAATACTCAAAAGGAGTATACGTGAATTGAGTTTCGAAACGAACATCCAAATGGGTAAACAACCAATCAACCTTACCCATGATTCTTTGACAAAACATTTACAATTGATGAAAAATTCAATCGCACAAAACACAACCAAGAAACAATTCTAGCATACTAAAAATACAATCTAACACGAGAAAAACAAGATAAACACAACAACTTCTGGAAAGACCCATTAGAGAAAGTAGTAAAACTTGAGAGAAGCATGGTGTTCTCGGGCCGTTCAGTTCGTTA